CAGCCCTTTCAACAGTCTCCTGCCATCCATCCTGTTCTCCAAAGTCCATTTTCTATCCTGCAGCAAAAGTGTTTTTTTTAATTAGCTTTGCTGAAGATTAATTTACATATAATAAAATTCACTTTTTTATTGTATAATTCTATAAGTTTTGTCAATGGGTGCAGTTATATGACTACCACCATACAATGTTTAAATTGTTTCCAGTTTTTGTCTACCAGTTTCAGTGTAAACGGAAGTTTCCATTTATCTTGGGTAAATATCTAGGAATAGGATTGCTAGGTTCCAAGACAAGTTTATGTTTAACCTTTTAAGAAACTGCCAAACTGTTTTCAAAGTCCTTGAACCATTTGAAGCCCCATTGGCAATATACAGTAGGAGAGTTCCAATTGTTGCACGTTTTGACTAGCCTGAATCAGTTTTTTTTTTTTTAATATTTATTTTTTAGTTGTAATTGGACACAACACCCTTGTTTTATTTTTTATTTACTTTTATGTGGTACTGAGGATCGAACCCAGGGCCTCGCACATGCTAGACAAACGCTCTACCACTGAGCCACAACCCCAGCCCCCAGTTTTTACTTTTGTTTTAATTTTATTTTAATCATTTCAATAAATGCATAGTGGTAGCTCATTGTAGTTTTGATTTGCATTTCCATGTGGCTAAGGATTCTTAGATCTTTCATATATTTATTTATATGTACACCATTATCTTTGGTAAAGTGCTCAAATCTTTTAACAGGTTTTTATTGGGTAGGATTTTTTTTTGTTGAGTTTTTAAAATCCTTTGTATATTCTAGATACCAAGTCCTTTGTCAAATAAAATTTATTTTACAAAAAATTTCTCATCTGTGGCCTGACTTCATTCTCCTGTTGATGTCTTTGGCAGAGCAAGCATTTATTTTGAAGTTCAAATTATTGGTTTGTTCTTTCATACTTATGTGTTGTATCTTCAAACTCTGCCTAACTTAAGATTGCAATGATTTACTCCTTCATTTTCTTGTAAGTTTTATAGCTTCATATTTTATACTTAGGTCTATTATTCTTTTGGAGTTAAATTTTGTGTGTGATGTGAGGTGTAGATCAAGGTTCACTTTGTTGTCTGTAAGTATCTAATTATTCAACTACATTTGTTAAAAAGACTGTCTTTTTCTCTTTTGTCAAAAATTTGTTGACTATACTTATGTGGGTCTATGTCTGAACTCTATTCTTTTCTGATCTATGTTAGGGGTCAACAGCAAATTTTTTCTGCAAAGGACCAGATAGTAAATATTTTAGATTTTGTAGGCCAAAAGGCACAGTGAAAGATATTATCTAGGTACTTGTGTAACAAGAGAATACAAATTTCTACCAATTCTCTATGAAATTAAAAAATACAATGAAGTATTCTAATCTAATAAGAAGAATGGGATTCTTTTCAGTGAAATAAATAACATTTTGCTTAAGTAGGGTTCAAAGTTAGGGTTTCCTCTTGTCCAAATTGATTTCAAAATATTCATCTATTGGTGCATATCTGTAGTGAAATATTTCATATTTTAGCTTTGAAAAATGTCTTTTTCCATAAGTTGTACGGGTACCAGTGGAAACCCTGCAGTTTGTGGAGTAGCAACAGCACTGCAAATCAGTCACTGTTCAATTCTCCATTGTAGCACAACGGCCAGAGACAATAGGTAAACACAAAAGTGTAATTATGTTCTAATAGAGGTTTATTTGTGAGCACTGAAATTTGAATTTCATATAATTTCCACTGGTCATAAAATATTATTCTTTTGATTTTTTCTAAACTATTTAAAAATACCGAAGCCTTCTTAGCATAGGGCACAAAAACCAGGGCAAACTAGTTTTGGCCTATGGGCTATAATTACCCCCTCATCCCTCCCTATTCCCCACCCAAATTTCTATCCTTCCACTAATACCACACTGTCAGGATTACTATAATTTTATCTAAAGACTTAAAATCAAATAGTGTGAGTTTACCAACTTGTTCTTTTTCTAAATTGTTTTAACTATTCTAGTTCTTTTACCTTTCTTTCCATATAAATTTAGCTTATTGTCTTCTACCAGAAATGTTGCTCTGATTTTGATTGGACTTATGTTGCCTCTGAAAACCAATCTGAGGAGAATTGACATCTTAACACTATCTAAAGAACTTAGTAAATCTCTCCATTTAGGTCCACTTTGATTCTTTTATCAGGGTTTTGTAGTTTTTCCCATATGGGTTTTAGATTTTACACATATTTGTTAGATTTATACCCAAGGATTTCATGGTTTTGGTCAGAGCTGTCTTTTAGTTATTGATTTCTCACTGCTCTTAGGATAAATTCTTTAATCTTAAAAGGCTAAAAACTTTTAAAGATTAAAACCTCTTGGCCCCTTCTCTATTTTTTTAGCCAAACTTTTTGCTACTCCCCCTCATTCACAATGTTCAGGTCTATGATTAGGAGGAAATGATTTTGTGTTTGTTTATTTAATTTACTAAGGGGTATAATTTTTAGAATATCTAAAAGAGTAAATAAATGTGTTCGAATAAAAAAATTGAAGAATGTATTTTCATCTTACTGGGTCATTGGGCTTTCTGTGTGGACTTCTTTTGCCCCTTAAGTCTGTAATTCTACTAAGACAGAATGCTTTATAATTATTGATTATAAGGGACTTTGCTTTGTAATATTAGCTTTAAAAAACATATTTTCATTCCTTAGAAACATACTGAAACTTGGCACACACACACAAAAAACAAACAAACAAACAACAAAAAAAAAAAACTGGCTTTCTGACCAAACTAAGGATCCTGTCACTGTCATTATACACAGATGAAGTTAAACTTTCTGTTTATTAAAATAGTTTTTATAAGCCTATTACCAACTTTATTATAATAGTCAAAGTAGAAACACAGAATAGTAGTGGTATTCTGTGAAAAGGTCTACAGCTATTTTAGTCAGTTTTTTCAGCGATCTGACAATAATAATTTAGAAAAGGAAAATTTTATTTGGGGCTCACAGTTTAGAGGTCTCGTCCATAGATGACCGACTCCATTCCGTGGCGCCTGAGATGGAAGCAGAACAACATGGCAGAATTGTGTGGTGGAAGAAAGCAGGTCAGGACATGGCCACCAGGAAATAGTGTTTACTCACCAAGAACAAAATATATACCCCAAAGGCATGCCACCAGTGACACACCTCCTCCAGCCACAACCTACCTGCCTACAGTTACCACCCAGTTAATCCATTCAAGTGTATTAATGCACTGAATAGGTTAAAACTTTCATAACTCAAACATTTCACCTCTAAACTTTCTTGCATTGTCTCACACATGAGTTTTTGGGACACACTTTATCTAATCCGTAACAGCAGCTATGAGCCTAAAACAAAAGAGAGCCACAAGATTCATTGTTCTAAACCTAAAAAACAGTACATTTAATTACCAGTGTTTATTCATTATGCTAGACCTACAGAGCTCAAAAACTAATGGGGAAACAACTAAAAATGAAAGCACTTGTTCACAAAGGCATATCTAAAAGACTTTAATAATCCAAAGAGAAATGAGTAGCCCAGGTGAAATTGAGAATATAAGATGATAAGTTGATTTTCAAGACACAGGTAGAAGGGAGGCAGGGACCACATCTTAAAAGGTAAGGGGCTTGCATTGTATCCTGTAACTCAGAGGTTCTAACACTTCACTGCACTTAAAATTACCTGGAGGAACTTGTTAAAATTTCAGAATCCTGGATTTTTCCCCCAAAGATTGACTGAGTAGATCTACCATGATTGCCTAAGTGAGCTACCACCACCCAGGATGCACACTGACATTTAAGAGCCAATGCATTTGGTAAAATTGGTTCACAGAATAGTTTTTAAGCTGGTTAATATGATGATTGTAGTAGCATTTTAGAAAGTTAGATAAGATTGGTTCACAGAATAGTTTTTAAACTGGTTAATATGATGATTATAGTAGGATTTTAGAAAGTTAAATCTGATAGTAGTGTAAAATGGAATCATCTGAGATTTAAAATGCAAATTCTGATTCATTAGGTCTGGAGTTGGGTCTAAGGTAACTGCATTTCTAACAAATTCCCAGGTGAGGCTGGTATTGCTTACCTGTAGCAAAGGAAACAGAGGCTATATTAGAGTGGGTGAGACTACACATCATGGAGATTAGTTAATAGCCTATCACATTTATCCAGGCAAAAGAGACTGAGTATCTGAACTACTAGTAGTATGCGATAATGGCAAGAATGGGTTGCAATGAAATGTAATAAAATAAAAATTACAAGATAAAATTGATACAACTAACTTAGGGAGTTTAGTAAGGATTGGAGTTAGTAGGAGGAGGAGAGATGTCAAAGATGATCAGAAGGTTGACATTTAGCTGTCTAGGTGGATGGTGATGACATTAGCTGTAATATAAGATAAAGAAAAGGTGAAAGGTGGCTTGGGATGTGGAGGAGGACTGGGTAGAGGAGAGAAGTTACTTGGACTTGAGAAATGAGGTAGCCAGAGGAGGATTCATTTTCAAAGCTTTGAATTCAAAGACTCTGTGAAATAACTAAAATTTCAAGGGGTGTTGGAAGAAGAGGAACTCATAAATAACTAATAAATGTTAGAGAGATTGGTTGATAACAGAATGAGCAGTATCAAAGTCATTTCCAGGTGGTTGCAGATGTAGCTATTTGGTAGACCACTTGGCCTAGCAAATTCAAGGCCACGGGTTGGATCTCTAGCAATGCAAATACACACACACAAATACGCACAATTTCCAAGAGAGGAAGGTCATATCATTGCCACAGAGATAGCAAGCCAAAAAGAGTGCATAGTTCTAATTAAGAGGCTCACTTTCTAAGTTGCTGATTGGCTAAAGGGATATTATGAAGCCTCCAAATTAGCTCATCTCTTAATCTTTTAATTTAAGGAAAAGTTTAAGAAAGAGCCAATTTTTTCAAGTCATTCATAACGTTAAGCCTTATAGTACCTTTTTCATTCAGATTATTTTTTCCTTTTCCCCCCACAGATTGATCATACTTAGAAGAGCTGCTGTAATAACATAGGGGAGGTGAAAACTAACAGATGAAAGTTTTGCCATGCACTGAAAGAAAAGCATTGTCTGTGAAGTTCTATTTTTAAAAATGTCTGCTTGTAACACCTTCACTGAACACGTTTGGAAGCCTGGTGAATGCAAGAATTGCTTTAAACCTAAAAGCTTACACCAACTCCCTCCAGACTCTGAGAAGGCATCCACCACCCATGGCAATGTGAAAACTAATGCCAATCACAGTAATAACCACCGTGTCAGGAACACCGGAAATTTCCGGCCTCCTGTGGCTAAAAAACCCACTATAGCTGTGAAGCCCACTATGATGGTGGCAGATGGGCAGAGTGTATGTGCTGAGCTTAGCATCCAAGAACACTGTGAGAACAAACCTGTCATTGTAGGGTGGAACCGAAACAGGACTGCCTTGAGTCAGAAACCACTTAACAATAATAATGAAGATGAGATTGAAGGATTTAGCCATGTTCCTAAGCCTTATGGCAACAATGATAGTGCAAAGAAGATATCAAATAACAATAATGGGCTAACTGAAGTGTTAAAAGAGATAGCAGGTTTGGACACCAACCCTCAGATAAGAGGAAATGAAACAAACTCCAGAGAAACATTCTTAGGAAGAATAAATGATTGCTACAAACGATCATTGGAAAGAAAGCTTCCTCCAAGTTGCATGATTGGTGGCATCAAGGATACTCAGGGCAAACATGTTAGTTTGAGTGGGAGCACAGAAGTAATCAGTAATGAAGGGGGACGGTTCTGCTACCCAGAGTTCTCTAGTGGTGAGGAGAGTGAGGAAGATGTACTTTTCAGTAACTTGGAAGAAGAACATGAGAGCTGGGATGAAAGCGATGAAGAGCTACTGGCCATGGAGATTCGCATGAGGGGTCAACCTCGCTTTGCTAACTTTAGAGCAAATACTTTGTCTCCTGTTCGATTCTTTGTGGACAAAAAATGGAATACCATCCCCCTACGAAATAAGTCACTCCAGAGAATCTGTGCTGTAGACTATGATGACAGCTATGATGAAATCCTGAACGGTTATGAGGACAATTCTGTGGTCTCCTATGGACAAGGAAGCATTCAGAGCATGGTGTCATCTGACTCCACATCACCAGATTCTTCTTTAACAGAAGAATCACATTCTGAGACAGCCAGTAGTTTATCCCAGAAGATTTGTAATGGGGGGATATCTCCTAATAACCCAGGAGAGTCTAAGGACATGAAAGAAATTGAACCCAATAATGAAAGCCTTCCTGGTAATAATCTGGAGAAGGAATCATTACAAGCTTCCAAAAGCTCAGTTAAAGTTCCAGAGACACACAAAGCAGTCCTTGCTCTCCGATTAGAAGAGAAGGATGGCAAGATTGCTGTGCAAACTGAGAAGCAAGAAAGTAGAGCCTCTACAGATATTGCTGGACAAGCAGTAACCATAAACCTCGTCCCTGTAGAGGAACAAGCAAAGCCCTACCGAGTTGTAAATCTGGAACAGCCATTGTGCAAGCCATATACTGTCGTGGATGTGTCAGCAGCCATGGCCAGTGAGCACCTTGAGGGCCCTGTTAATATCCCCAAGACAAAAATCTCATCTTCTACTCCAAACTCCCCAGTATCTTCACCTGCATTGACACCAGGACAGATAAATACCCATTTCCAAAAATCCAGTGCAATCCGATACCAGGAAGTGTGGACTTCCAGCACCAGTCCACGACAAAAGATCCCTAAAGTAGAATTAATTACTGGTGGAACTGGACCAAATATCCTGCCAAGGAAAAATTGTCACAAATCCGCACCTACTTCACCCACAGCTACAAACATTTCCTCTAAAACCATCCCTGTTAAGTCACCTAATTTGTCTGAAATAAAATTTAATAGTTACAACAATGCTGGTATGCCACCTTTTCCAATTATCATTCATGATGAGCCAACGTATGCTCGGAGTTCCAAAAATGCTATTAAAGTTCCCATTGTTATTAATCCAAATGCATATGACAATCTAGCCATCTACAAAAGTTTTTTGGGAACAAGTGGAGAACTCTCAGTGAAGGAAAAAACCACAAGTGTAATAAGCCATACTTATGAAGAAATAGAAAGTGAAAACAAAGTGTCTGATGCCACTAGCAAACCCACTGAATGTCCCCAAGCCAAAGGGTTTTCAAACAGCACAGAGCGTAAAAGGGGCTCCGTGGCTCAGAAGGTTCAGGAGTTTAACAACTGTCTCAACAGAGGTCAGTCTTCCCCACAGAGAAGTTATAGTTCCAGTCACAGCTCCCCAGCAAAAATCCAGAGAACCACTCAAGAGCCTGTGGCCAAAACAGAAGGCACACAGGAGCCTCAGCTGGTGGACAGCAGTGGCAGCAGCAGGGAGAAAGCAAGCATAGTGCTTTCTCAGATTGTGGCTGCTATCCAGCCCCCCCAGTCTCCTCCAGAAACACCTCAGTCTGGCCCTAAGGCCTGCAGTGTGGAAGAGCTTTACGCCATTCCTCCAGATGCTGATGCTGTGAAGAGTCCACCTAAGGGTACACCAGTCCGACCCAAGTCACTCTTCACATCTCAACTTAGTGGTGAGGCTGAAGCACCTTCGACCGCAGAAAGTCCTACCAATAAAGTACAGAAAGACCCATTCTCAAAGCCAGTTGCCTCCCCTCCTTCCAAATTAGTGAGCAACCCCCAAAGTGAGCCACCACCTCCCTTTCCCCCGCCTCGCTCTACTTCTTCCCCTTACCATGCAAGTAACCTTTTACAGAGACATTTTACCAACTGGGCCAAACCAACCAGCCCTACCAGATCAACGGAAGCTGAATCAGTTTTGCACTCTGAAGGTAGCAGGCGGGCAGCTGATGCAAAGCCTAAACGCTGGATCTCATTTAAAAGCTTCTTCCGCCGTAGGAAAACAGATGAGGAAGATGACAAAGAGAAAGAACGAGAGAAAGGGAAACTGGTAGGTCTGGATGGCACAGTTATCCACATGCTGCCTCCTCCTCCAGTGCAGCGCCATCACTGGTTCACAGAGGCAAAAGGAGAGTCCAGTGAGAAGCCAGCCATTGTCTTCATGTATAGATGTGACCCTGCCCAGGACCAGCTCAATGTGGATCAGAGTAAGGCCAGGGCTGACCGGGCAGCAATCACCGAAAAGGGTACAACAGAGGATGCATTACTGCGGGACTCAGAAAAGAAGAAGAGTAGTCATTCTTCTCCGTCACAGATTCCTGAGAAAGTTCACAGGTATGTAAAATAGACTGGCAGAATATGGGAAATTTTTAACACATTTTCACGTGTTAAGTTTTTTATCTTTTAAGACTGCATAAGAGCCATTCCTGTTTGTAAGTAGAACTCTGAGGCCATGATTCATCTTTATAACTGCATTCCAAGATTAGAATATTATTGAAGTGATCTTATTGCACTGAATAAGGTTTATGGCCCTGGATCTCTAGCTAAAATAGCCTGCTGCATTCTAGTGAATACAGAGGGACTTTAACAGAAAAGAACAAATCCACAGCACCATAACAGAAATAAAGAATACATCGTTCTGAATTGCTGTGATGGTGTGAGGAAGAAACAGAGTCAAATGAATGCTCTTTCCCTCACTGTAAATGGAATAAAACTGCATATGCAGTTCAGTTTGGCTTTCACCAAGGCATTATCTCTATACATATTACTTTATTTTAAGGGAATCTTTGGGTTTTTTATTGCTGCCTCTTTCTGTCCTCCTTTCAAGTGTTTTGGAAAAATGGGGAGCAGGGACGAGCAGTTTATAGATATTTAACTTGGAGGAGAAACATGAGTAGGTTATCGAGGTTGAGATCCTTATGGTATGATCCTCAATTCAGCTAGGCAGATTGTATGCTCATGAGATCTCTAGGCACTAATTTATTTTATTACCTTAATAATTTATCATTGATCTCCTACTCTATGTGTGACATGTCCCAAATATTTTTCTCAAATCCTTATAAAATTCCATAAGGATTCTATAAGAACCCTGTAAATGGTTCTTCATATAAGGAAACTAAAAATCAGAGAAGTTAAGAACTGGCCAGAGTTGCAAAGCTAGCACTTGTCAGAGCTGAAATTCAAACCCTGATCTATGTCACTCTCAAGATTATATCCTTTCTAAAGCGTTGCATTATTAATGAACACAAGATCAAATAAAGGGCTGAGGATATAGATCAGTGGTAGAGTGATCGCCTAACTTTCATGAAGTCCTGGGTTCCATTGTCGGCACACCACCACCACCACACACATGCTCAAAACCAAACAAAATTTTCCTGTTTGGGCTTGTGATCATTCACATAAACATTTATATTCAGGAGGTTTTTCTTTCTCATTTGTATTAGAAACAAAATTAATTAACTGCCAATAAAAGGGAGGTTTATTCCAGGTTTTTGACAAATAGGGATATGCCCTGAGTATTTCATTCTTCTGAGTCCTTCTCCCTACTTACATAGAGACAGATAGTAAACCTTCTCTACCTGAGCCGACCTTCTCTCTCTGGCAAAGACATGAACCTCTGATTATTGGGGCAAATTCTCTTACCAGTTTTTCTTTAGAAAAGCATAAATAAAAATGAAGTGAACAGTTAATGCCTTTACTTTTCCTAACAAAATGCTCGGGTATTTATATGTATTCTTCATTAAAATTAGCCTTTTACATACCTTCAAATAGTTATCAAAATGGTAGCAAGTCTCTGTTTTCCTTAAATCCATGTAATAACAAAGTAACTAGAATAGTGGTAGTATATTCCTGAAAAGAATAATTTTGTCATCAGTAGTGGAAAATCATATTCAATTTTTACATACTTAGTGATAGAATGTTTTAAGCCAGTAGCAATAAAATTCATGTATTGCAGATTACTGTTTTGTTTAGAAAAGAAGCAATTTAAAAGCAGTTGGTTAGAGTTACCTAGGAGGGAATGGTAGATAGGTCTTGCAGATCAATAAACAGCTTTACTCCTAATTAAGTACTGCTGTGGTGGATGTGTTCACACCTTGGGAGGCAGAGCCAAGGAATGATAGAACATTGGCCTCTCTTGTGAGGATGTGATCTCTCCTTGGTCTGCATTCCACTATATGTGGGCTTGAAGGCAGCCCAGATTCTGGGCATGGTAGACCCTTTACTATACAGCTTATGTTTTCACTGATTGTGTTATATACTGACCAGTCATGTCTTCCAAAATTTATCAGCTCTTTATAGTTCACATAATGGATCCAAATGGCACAATTGAGTTGCCTCTTGATGCTCAAATTTGACCATGTTCCATAATTATCCAGAGGGCTGTTGAAACACAGATTGCTGAGCCCCACCCCCAGAGTTTCTGAGGCAGAGGTCTGGAGTGAGTCCTGATACTTTGTACTTCCTACAGGTTCCTGGGTAAGGCTGATGCTGCTTTCCTTGGGCCATATTTTATTACCACTGGTCTCACCACCATTCTAAAGATAACATTGCTGTAGTCTTAAGTGAAGCCATGATTGAAATATTAAGCTGTTCTTAGGGGCACACTGAAAATTTCTCATTTCATAATGTCCAGAGTAAGAAGAAAAAGAAGTATTCAATAAGCTATTTTTAACATTATGAAAAGCTTAATACATGATATGCATATTGAAAAATATACACCATTTGATTTTTAAATAATTACCTCATTTGCTTGGATATGCCATTGGTATTTACTTGAAGCAACTTTGAGAGGAAAAACATTACAATCAAATGTCAACATTTGTGTTTATGGCTTGATGGCAGTGTGATCATTAAATTACCATCCCACGGCTGGGAACACACTGCTGAAAGAAATGAAAATATGGTTTTTCTATAAGTAAATGAAGATTCCAAATCTAAACTGTCATAAGGAATGAAGAATGAAAAACTACTGTGCTAAAGGCCAGACCCCAGCCTTTGAAAGATGAAAAACTTTATAGAGCCTTTTATTATAGAATTAGATTATTTCTAATTTCATTTATTAGACTGTTCAGAAAATATAAAGTGAGTATGTGCCTGGAACAAATAGGGGAAAGGACACTGCTGAAATAATGGATTTGGGTTTGACTTTAGTCTCAACTATCTATCTGGTCCTTCACTAAACAGGGTTATAATAATGATATCTATCACATAGAATTAATTTGAAGATTTCATGAGAACACATACAATAGGCTTAACACAAGGTCTGGCACATATTGGATGCTTTAAGAGTAGCAGCTCCTCTGCCCTCTGTGCAAGAAATGTTAAATGTACAGAGTGGTATAATACAAAGGGATTAAATCAGCTTAGAACAGACTTCTTAGAAATGAATTTGAAATAGGATTTTGCCAGCTGGTTGGGAAAGATATTACAGGCACAAGGAACAGTATATGCAAAGTCACAGCAATGAGAACGCAAACAGAAACAGAACATGTGACTAGAAAAGCATAATGGATAATCTAGAAGATCAAAAACAAGCTAAACTCATGGAAGGTGAGCCAGTGTGGGGTTGGGGAACGGTGGAAAAGGAGGAGGGTACAAGGTTTCAGTGATATATTGCACAACTTGGTAACCATAGTTAATGTAATATATACTTCAAAATTGCTGAAAGAATTTATTTTGAACCTGTTCACCACAAAAGAATAAGATGATGAGGGGATGGATATACTAATCAGTTTTGCTTAATCTTTCTACAGTGCAAATATATATATAACATTGCAATCTATAAGTATATATAATCATTATTTATCAAAAAAACATTTAAAAAATAGTCCAGTGGTTCTTAAAGTATTGTCCATGTAAGGTCAAACAATGACCATACAAAATTCTCTATTTCATAATAATACTGCCAAAGTTGGGGTCTTGAATGTCACTGAAAGGCCCATTTTGTTAAAGGCTGTGTTATCAGCCTGTTGTCCTGTTGGGAGATGGTGGAAACTTCAGGAGGTGGGGCCTAGTAGAAGGAAGTTAGGTCACTGACGGTGTGTCCTTGGAGGGAATATTGGGACCCAGCACCCTCCTCTCTCTCTCTCTCATTGCTTCCTGGCCACCAAGGTAGAAGTTTCCTTTGCTACCTACTACCTGCCATAATGTACTCCCTCACTACAGGCCCAAAGGCAGTTGTGCCAAGTGACCATGGACTGAAAATTTCTGACCAAAAGAAACCTTTCCTCCTTGTAAGTTGATCATCTCAGGTATTTTGTCACAGTGACAAAAAGCTAATTAACCCAAATATTAAGACCTTTGTCTTTTTCATTGTGTTGACCTTTGCACTGATAGTGCAAAAACAGTTGTAGGTAAAATGACTTATACCTTAGCATAAATCAAAGCCATCACATGATACTGTATTAGGAGTTGAAGGGGAAAAAAGAGTTTCATTTAAGAATGCCCTTGATGAAGTAGTAAATTTTATTAAATCTCAACCTTTGAGTATCTTTTTAAAATTCTTCATGATTAAACAGGAAGTAGATATAGAGTACTTCAGCTGCATACACACAGAAATCACTTGTGAAATAGTTGCAATTGCAAAGGTTGAGTTAGGAAGCTTAACTAGCACTCTCTTTCATAGACCACCTTGGAGGAACAACTAGCAGATCAACTCATTATTCAAATGAGTCCTGGCAGATATTTTCTTAAAAGTGAACATAGTGAGCCTATTACTTTCCAGGAAAACAACTGACTATATTTGTTGTCAATAATAAAATTCAAACTTTCAAACAAAAATGAAAACTTTTTAAAACTTATATTTGACACTGTGACCATGACAGCTTCCTAATACATAAGTATTTTTCCCATGAAATTTTTGGTGGAATTAGCAAGAGGTTTTTAAAATATTATTTAATGTCATGTGTCCACATTTGGAGGATATGCATAACTCAGTAAACTATAATTTCCAAATGACTCCCTACATAATAATACAAAATTATACATGAGTAAGGATTCATTCAGACTGCAAAGCGAGGCCAGTGGATTTTAATGTAACTAAATACAAAAAGTTCATTGATATGGTTTCAGATCTACATGGCAGCTAACCTTTAAGAAATTACCACTCATCAAGCTCAGGTGCAGTAGCAAAGAATATCCACAATTATCTAAAAGGCTATTAAAAATACTCCTTGTTTCCCACCTATAAATCTGGATGAGAACAGATTTTTTTTGCATATTCTTTAATTGAAGCAGTATATCATCGCAGATTAAATGCAGAAGCAAATATGAGGATTTGGCTTTCTTCTATTAAGTCACAGATGTTAAAGAGATCTGAAAATGTTTTAAAGGGT